CCATTATTTGAATGGAGTAGCATCAACTTAAACAATTACACCTCTTGTTAATGTTTTTGTTCTCACTAATTCATTATTTGAAGGATGATAAACAACCTCAACAATTTTTGCTTTTTTTGCAACACCTTGACTACCCCAAGAGAAATTGCCTTCAGATAAACGAAGTGCTCTAAATTTATAATTGCCTCCTCTAACTCTAATTCTTCTCACTCTTTTTTCACCAGAAATCAATTTAGTCATAGCAGCTTGTCTACCTTTTTCAAATGCTCTCTTCTTTTTGTGAATTGGCATTCGACCTCCTGTTAGTCTTCTTTTATGTCTACTATCTCTAGAAATTCCCATGAATTATAAATATTAATATAATTAATATAAAAAGATTTTATTTAATTTAAAAAGTAAAATGGAAAACATTATAATTTTTATCTATTCATTTCAAATAAAAAAGAAGTTTCATCCTTTATTGTCCATTATTATTGTAACTTAAATGGTCTCTTTAAGCTATCTAATTTTAAATTAGATTGTTTATTAAGAATTCAGTTCATAAACGAATAAATTTTATTCAAAAATACTTTCACCCTTTTTACGAAAAGAGGTGAATATTTGTTGCTTCTGTATATACATTAATTATTTAAAGAACAATATAAATCTATCTAAATTTCAATATTATTATATTAATGATCAAAAATAAAAACCAAAATTTCATATTGAATCAAGAGTTAGAACTTCACTACTAACTTATATATGTTAAATTAAATATCTTAAAAAATCTAAATTAAATCATAAACATGTTTTTCTTGTTATTTCATACTTCCTTTGTAATTTTTATTTGGTATTTTTCTCTAAAAATATTGATAATATTACTTTAAAATGTCAAATAAATGATACACTTATTTTGAACTCATAGGCTATTGTATTTCAAAATCAAAATAATTTGAAGGCATTTTTAAATTAATCTTTGGAATTCTAACTTTTATTTCATTTAAATTAAGACTTCTTTTTCTTTATCTGATATCTGTTTCATTTCTACTAGAAGGAGTTGGGGTACTTTCTTGAGTAAATTATTATGAAGATTGTCTATCTTATTTTATTTAAACTATTCTTTAGTGTTTATCTACCTATTAATAGTTAACATCATAAGGAGAAAGACTTGGCAATTTTTAATGATGAATTTCTCTATCATTTGTTGAACCAAATGTAATTTATCTAGTATTTCGAATTTAAAGTTTTTAAGGTCTTTTTTTTATACTGAATGCCTAATTTTTGACTATAAAATTTTTAAACTCAATCTATTTTTGCATATTCTTATTATTGTTTGTTATTAAATAGTGTAAAGACATATATAATAAATAAATTAATGATCAAAATTTTTGATAGATGATTTAATCAAAAAGATAGCAAAAAACTTTTAATCGTTTGTATCTATTCATTTTGACTCACTCTTATCAATTGATAATAAATCATATAATCTTTCTCCAAGAATTTTAACAACAAAATAATTAAATTATGCAATTAAATTATTCATGTATTAAATTACGTCATTTTTATATTAAATTCAACATTTTTTCTCAAATACAATTTAGAGACTAACAATTCTAAGATAATGGGTATATAACAAATTTGTAGAATCTATTTTATTAATTATTCGAAGCTATTTAATTCATTTGTTTATAAAATTACTTAATTATCTACTTTAATAGAAAATGGAAATATTTATTAAAAATACATAATTATGTATAATTTTGCTTGTTTAAAAATGATTAATTAGAAGAATAGTTCCTAAATTTTCTTTATGTGTAATTTTTATTTTAAAAAAGAGAGGAAGAAATTTTATAAAATGAATATATATGTTTGAAATTGATTATAAATAATTCAATATTATAATAATCCATCAATAATCCATTTATTTCTTTCTTCAACAAATGGATGAGTTCTTATTGGATAGCTTTAATTATTGTGTGGTTCATCTTAAACTGCAAACAAATATTGATTAGGATTGGTTAGAGATCTTATTGTCCATAAATTAGATTCTGTTTATTCAATTAACCAGATATTTCTAAGTTCTTTAAATGGATGAAATCTGACATCATAATCATGAAATTGATTCAATTCTTTTTTATTATCGATAAATAAATAAAATGAAGGGAATTAGAATGATCTAATAGCAAAAGCATCTCCAGTTACTCTATCAAGTATAAATTTAGTATGTTAATTGTTATTTTAATTAACATTCACACTAAAATCATCAGAAAATACTTAATGATAATTTCCAATGGTTAGACTATTTTAGGGTAAATGAGCAGGTTTGAATGTAACAACAATAGGATCATATTTTAAAGGGTATGGTGTTGTAAAATTAGGAAATGTAATAATATACCAATGATTATTTTAATCTTCTTTATTTTAAGTTCGTACATCAAAATCCTTGCCATGATTATTTGATTTATCAGAAGCAACAAATAAAAATTGATCAGGATTAGTCTCAGATCTGATTGTAAAAACACTCCATCCATGACTTTCAATAATCCAATTGTTTCTTGCTTCTTGAAATGAATGAGTTCTAACATCAAAATTGTCTTAAAATTTTCTTGTATTATCATTGGAGCAAAATAAATAATGATTTGGTTTAGCAGCAGATTTAATAAGATATACTTTATCTTTGATTTACTCAATTATAAAATATGTGTCAACAGAGCTTTCTTAGACACATCTAACATCAAAATCATCATTAAGAGCTCTAGATTTATTTGTACAAGCTGCAAGATATCTGGTTGAAGCAGCAACAGGTCTAAAAGAAACGATCATAGGATTGGATCCAAGTTCCATAGATATTTTTTATTTATTTTGATTAATACAAATGGAACATATTATTATCATTATGTTATATATGGAATGAACAGATTAAAATGACATAAAGCTTCATAAATATTTAATCCAAAAAAGACTTAAAGATTAAGAATATCTTTAGATTCGAAAAGATGATTATTTAAATCTAGAATACAAAAATAAATATATTTATATATATATATTTATATATATGGTTAATAAATGAGAATGGGATTTAAGTATGTTTGTATTAATTAAATAATAGCATAAAAAGATGATGNTATTTTTAAAACAAAGGGCTTGTAAGAATTGTAAAGAGAAAGAAAAAATCTTTAAATAAGAATAACTAAATTTGATTGAAATTAATAGTAAATGATTCAATATTATTATAATCCATCAATAAACCATTTATTTCTTTCTTCTAAAAAGGAGTGAGTTCTTATTGGAAAACTTTAATCATTTTAGGCTTCATCTTAAACTACAAATAAAAATTGATTAGGATTGGTTAGAGATCTTATTGTCCATAAATTGGATTCTGTCTTTTCTATTAACCAAATATTTCTAAGTTCTTTAAATGGATGAAATGTGACATCATAATCATGAAATTTATTCAATTCTTATTTATTATCGACAAATAAATAAAATGATGGAAATTAAAATGATCTAATAGCAAAAGCATCTCCAGTCACTCTATCAAATATAAATTTAGAATGTAAGTTGTTATTTTATTGAACATTCACATTAAAATCATCAGAAAATAATTTATGATGATTACCTTTAGGGTAAATGAGTAGGCCTAAATTTAACAACAATAGGATCATATTTTAAAGGATATGGTGTAGTAAAATTAGGAATTGTAATAATATACCAATGATTATTTTAATCTTCTTTATTTTAAGTTCGTATATCAAAATCCTTACCATGATTATTTGATTTATCAGAAGCAACAAATAAAAATTGATCTGGATTAGTTTCAGATCTAATTGTAAAAACACTCCATCCATGATTTTCAATGATCCAATTATTTCTTGCTTCTTAAAATGAATGAGTTCTAACATCAAAATTGTCTTTAAATTTTCTTGTATCATCATTGGAGCAAAATAAATAATGATTGGGTTTAGCAGCAGATTTGATAAGATAAACTTTATCTTTGACTTACTCAATAATAAAATATGTGTCAACAGAGCTTTCTTAGACACATCTTACATCAAAATCATCATTAAGAGCTCTAGATTTATTTGTGCAGATTGCTAAATATTTAGTTGGAGCAGCAACAGGTTTAAAAGAAACAATTAAAGGGTTAGATCCAAGTTCCATAAATTTTTTATTTATTTTGATCTAATAAAGTTATTATTATAAAATATTATTATACAATGAGTAGATTCTAAAAACTTAAAAATTAAGAAAATCGTAAAGTTCAGAGAGATGATAATTATCTAAATCTTAAATGAAAAGTCATATATATATATAGTATGATTTGAAAGATATAATAAAATGATGTTGAATAATAAAGAAATATATATATTAGATATGATTGAATATAATATTTGATATGAAATACTCATCATCCCTAGAATCCATCTATGATCCATTTATTTCTATCTTCAACAAATGGATGTGTTCTAACACTGAATTCATGTCCATTTCCTTCATCTTAGAGTCCAAATAAGAAATGATTAGGATTAGTGGCTGATTTAATAGTCCAATATCCTTATCCAGCTGGTTCAATAATCCAATGATTTCTTGGTTCTTTATGTGTATGGAATCTAGCATCAAAGTCACCCCATTGATTATATGCTTGTCCATTAGCACAGAATAAATAATAGAGTGGACTAGCAGCTGATCTAATTGTGAATACATTTCCTTAAACTCTATCTAAGAAGAATTAAGTCTTATCTGTCTTTGCTCCTCTGGCTTTGACTGCAAAATCAGTTTAGAATTATTAATGTGGTTCTGCAAAAGTAAGGAAATGTTATTGTAAAAGAATTGGTCTTAAAGAAACAACAGGTGGTTAATGTAAAAGAGGATATGGATGAACGATATTTGGTACTGTAACTATGAACCAAAGATTTCTTTCTTCTTATTGAGCATGAGTTCTAACATCTAATTCTCCTTAGTGAGCATTTGAATTATCATCTGCTGCAAAAAGGTAAAAGTTTGGATTTGTTTCAGATCTAATTGTGAATGTACTCCATCCTACATTTTCTATAATCCAATTATTTCTTGGCTCTGCATAATGATGAGTTCTGACATCAAAATCACCTCCGAATTTTCTAGCATTGTCATTTGAACAGAACACAAAATGATCTGGATGTGTAGCTGGTTTTATTCTATACACAGCGCCATTTACGTGTTCTAATAAGAAATAAGCATTTTCTGAAGCTTAGTTAGCAATTCTGACATCAAAGTCTTCTCCTAAACATCTTGATCTGTTTGTTGCTGTTGACAAGTATCTACTTGGAACTGTGAAGGGTCTTATTGAAACTACGGCTGGAATTTATGGACTTTACATTTTATTTATTAAAATTTATTTAAAAGAAAATCTTCTTAAATACCCCCAATTAAGATTATGGAATATTTTATTATTCCATATATCTCTTATCAATATATAAAAATATTATTTTCAATATATATATGATAACACATTTTTAGAATTTTATTTTATTCTCATAATTTAAAAGTAAATCTTATCAATCTTTAATATATATCCTAATCTAACTAAAGAAATTTCAAATCACTCACATAATCTATATTAAAATAATTCTAGATTAATATCTTCTAAATATTTTAGTATTCAATCTCTTTTATTTATGTAATTTAAATCAATATTCATTCAAAAACACTGTTATGCTATGATAAAAATACACATTTTTTCCTATTAAGTATTTATTTTAAAGTTAAAAAAAGTCAATTATTTAAAAGATATTCAAACAACCTTAATTTATTAAACTAATTGTTGATATATATTATATTTTTCAGAAATTAACCTTGTTCAATTTTAATCTAAATACATATCCAAAATTAGAAAAAAGAAAAATCTAAATCTTAATCAATTAAATCTATCTTCTGCAATAGATATTGAGATTAACTAAATCATGCAATATATTTTTAGAGATATTTTTGCAAGATAGGGATATCTTCTTAATTTTCATAACAATCTATTAAACATTCAATTATACTATATACAAGTTTATTAATAAGTTAAAGTCCAAACATTAGCAGTTATAATCAAAATACAACACTAATTCACTTAAAAATCATTAAAATAGTTGTAAGCTAACACTATTTATACTATTTATGATTACTTAAAAAGTTTACATTTATATGATAAATTAATTGAATTTAAGAGTTTGAAAAATTAAAGACCACTAAGCTTAATGATAAAATTTAATTGATATCTAATCATAAATATTAGACAATAGAAAAAAGAATAAATAAATTCATAAAATCTAGACTATCAATTTTATAAATAATAAATAATATTAATTCATTCAACTAAAAACATGATTATAGTTTTAGTAGAATCAATTATAAATTTCTAATTTTACTAAAAAAGATAATTCTAATGTTAATAACCGCAAATTTATCACTCCCACTCTCAATTCCTTAATTTATTTCATTATTGCAAGTCATCTTTTTTTTAAATCTGATCCTTAATCTTAGTTGTTTATTTTATGTAACTAATAATCTTAATTTGATAATTGAATTTCCTAAAACAAATTTTCTTTCAAAAATAGATGAAATTGTTTCAAAAAATAATTTTCCTTATATTAAAATAATTATTATATTTTAAATAAAATCTAATTAAATACATTTTTATATTAAAAAAAAATCCAATTATGATCAAATCCTATTCATAAGCATCTCGACCAGAAATTATTTTAATATCAAATAAATAATTTAAATTAGTATCTAATAAAGTAGTTCCGTCTTATTTTTTGTATTCGAACTAACTTGTTCAGATTTTAAGGAATTATGTTGAAACATTAATCTCTCTAGTATTCATCTCCAATTCGATAGCTACAATGATAACAATAAAAAAATATATCCTAATTTAGTTAGTTCTTTACATCTACCATCAATATTACTGGGCTAATAACCCTGTCTATTTATTGAAAAATTTATATCTCTAATACAATCAAACTATGAACTATTTAATTATTATTCCAATACTTACTAATTCTTTTCTCAAGGCTTAATTAAGCTCCATTCAAATTTAAAAAACTAGCTTCTTAAAATTTAGGGTTTGATGATATATAAGTTTTATTTTATGAATATATTAATCTAAAATCTGATAAGTTTATAGATGTTGTTTAAATGATAAAAAGTATCTTAATAATTAGAAAATATAAATTTTAAACAAGCATTTAAATTTAATTAACCTGTAATTAAGCACATTTATATCAGTAGATTTTCATTTTTATTAATATATTAATGACTAGCTAAGTAATATTAAGCAAGAAAGAAACATCATATATATAAGTTTAATTTAGATGAAATCTGTTCAAAGATTTAGAATATTAAGTAAATATAATTATTTTAAACTAAAAAGAAATCAATAATCATCATGAACAATAATTCTTGAAAGAAGTGATTTCGTCGAATATACTTATCCACCCAAAACACCAATTAACAATGTTCCATTATTAGTTAGAAGAAATGTAAGCGTACTATCCTTATCTAACATTGATATAGAATCTACAAATTCATCACTATTATATGTAAATTTTTCTTTTTCTATAATATTTTTATCTAAAATCTTGAAGTTGTTGAAGTGATACTTCATTATCATGCTGTAGTCAGTTTCAAAATATGTTTGTAATCGTAATTAAGTCTATTCCGGAATTATTTCAAATTATATTCTGTGTAATTTCAAAGCTTTATATTACTAAGAAATCAGTCTAAATGAATCACAATCTGAAAATTCCAAATGTACCAAAGTATTTTAAATTTGCAGGTTTAATAACATTTTAACTTATTCCTTATCACAATTAACTAAAATTGGAATCTTACAATTTGATTTGCACTAATAAGTATTCATTTATGTATTTTCTTCAATCTATGTTTTTATACATAATTGGTAATTTACAAATGAGATCTGATATTACATGTCCATTCTAAAAAGCTTAAATCTATTAAAACAATAGCAATACTGATAGGGCTTATTTAAATGCTTCAAGATCTATTCTTTCAATTATCATGGGTTAATTCGTTTTTATTTTCTCTACTTACAAAGTGAAGTGATGAGAATTTGTTCTGCCAATTGAAAGAAAATCTATCTTATTAGTTACGCAGATATAAAAAGGCTATAAATTAAAATAAATACAAAACATCATTACGCTTTATTTTCATTAGACCATCGTAAATTTTTTTGCTTTCCTTATTAATTACTCCTGAGAATGTAAATTCAGGATCGGCTTCTTAATTCATTTTAAAATATATAAATATTATTAATAAATTCTGCCGGAATTAATTCTGTTACTCTACTGATTTATTGTTAATTTTTGCCTTAATTATTAAAAAATTAATAAATATTATAAGAGATTTAATTCAAACATAGCTATTAGGAAAAATAAATATAGAAATGCACATTAATTGATCAATTTAAGGTAATATAGCTAAGAAATTTTTATCTGAGTAATTTAAACAGTACAAAATCCACATGAAAACTTAATTAAGTTAATAGTAAAATTTAAAACAACTGATTCCTAGTATATAGAACATTTGTATAGAAAGTTCTTGAATATATAGTGAAAATTAAAAATTAAGAAATTATTTAAATTATAAAATTTGAGACAAATAAGTAATCTTGGAAAATAAAATTGTAATAATATAAGAAGGACAAAAAAAATGATGTAAATTCTAAGCCTAACAATGAAAATTGCTCAAATGTTAATAGCTATAAAACTTTAAAAAGAGATTCGATTTAAAATAGCAAAAAAGGAATGCTAATTTTTTGTTCAACAATAGTATAATAATATTTATATGATTTAAACTTTTGATCTTGCAAAAATGATTCTGAATGAAATTTCTTGTATAATATTAAAATTAATTTATACAGATTCTATAAACTTGATAAAAATTATTTAATGATTTATTGTAAAAAATATTACTTTTAGTATTATCATTTTCTATACTGAACAGATGTAATCTAATAAAGATAAGCATAATTCAAATTTTAGATTATATTTAAATCATAAATATGATAAATCAATATTTTCTTCAATTTTATGTTTCATTTCTTGAAAGATGATTTCATTTAATAGAAACATTAATTATTAATAGATGAATTGGTCATTTTATTTACTAATTATTTTATTTTATCCCTCTCAGTAAATTGAGGCTTTAATTAATCTTCAATTAAGGAGTCANATTGAAAGAAAATCTATCTTATTAGTTACGCAGATATAAAAAGGCTATAAATTAAAATAAATACAAAACATCATTACGCTTTATTTTCATTAGACCATCGTAAATTTTTTTGCTTTCCTTATTAATTACTCCTGAGAATGTAAATTCAGGATCGGCTTCTTAATTCATTTTAAAATATATAAATATTATTAATAAATTCTGCCGGAATTAATTCTGTTACTCTACTGATTTATTGTTAATTTTTGCCTTAATTATTAAAAAATTAATAAATATTATAAGAGATTTAATTCAAACATAGCTATTAGGAAAAATAAATATAGAAATGCACATTAATTGATCAATTTAAGGTAATATAGCTAAGAAATTTTTATCTGAGTAATTTAAACAGTACAAAATCCACATGAAAACTTAATTAAGTTAATAGTAAAATTTAAAACAACTGATTCCTAGTATATAGAACATTTGTATAGAAAGTTCTTGAATATATAGTGAAAATTAAAAATTAAGAAATTATTTAAATTATAAAATTTGAGACAAATAAGTAATCTTGGAAAATAAAATTGTAATAATATAAGAAGGACAAAAAAAATGATGTAAATTCTAAGCCTAACAATGAAAATTGCTCAAATGTTAATAGCTATAAAACTTTAAAAAGAGATTCGATTTAAAATAGCAAAAAAGGAATGCTAATTTTTTGTTCAACAATAGTATAATAATATTTATATGATTTAAACTTTTGATCTTGCAAAAATGATTCTGAATGAAATTTCTTGTATAATATTAAAATTAATTTATACAGATTCTATAAACTTGATAAAAATTATTTAATGATTTATTGTAAAAAATATTACTTTTAGTATTATCATTTTCTATACTGAACAGATGTAATCTAATAAAGATAAGCATAATTCAAATTTTAGATTATATTTAAATCATAAATATGATAAATCAATATTTTCTTCAATTTTATGTTTCATTTCTTGAAAGATGATTTCATTTAATAGAAACATTAATTATTAATAGATGAATTGGTCATTTTATTTACTAATTATTTTATTTTATCCCTCTCAGTAAATTGAGGCTTTAATTAATCTTCAATTAAGGAGTCACTTTGTTAGATGATTTTAAACTTTTTAATTGAATTAGTAAAGGTAAGATTTTGTGTTTCAAGTCTAGGAGAAAGTTAATTATAGTAATCATTCTTAAGATTTTGAGTTTTAATGATTTTAGAAGAATCCTATTTAAAAATGGAGAAATTATTAATAGATTTGGTGATTTTATTGCCTGGTTTAAGATTAGTTTGTTTTTTTAGAGTCGATGACATCCTTCTATTTTTTAAATATAGTTTAGGCAATAAATTTAATAATATTTTAATTTAGTAAGAATTTGCTAATGATTAAAACAAGAACAAAACCTGTTTGCAAAACTCACTTTAATTTATCATCTAAATAAATAAGCAGATATAGAAAGTATATTCTGAATTTAGTTAATCGAAAATGGTTGAGAGAAGCAGATGATGTTTCAACGGATAAATGTAAAATCAGATTTACAGAGAATAAAGTGCATCATTTTGTTCCATCAGAGACTATGGTAAAGAAAGTGATAAGATTTGATTGTTATCCAAAGAAAGGTATTCTAAAAAGCACATGAATTTGTGAAATAATGTTTACTGTTTTTTTTTTAAATATTTATGAATTAAACGATAACATAAAAATCAATCATAGCTTCTACGTTGACCCTAATTTTTCCAGCGAGGTGGTGTAGGTGGTCTCTTTTTTAGAGCCTCTTCATCCTCAATCCAATTATGAGCATTAAGATTTTGAGGATATATTAATTTTGGTACTATTTCTAAGTTTCTTTTAAGAATAAGGACAGCACCTGCATTTTTGTGTCTGCCACAATAATCAGTTGCACTAAAAACAGTGAGTAATTAACCTCCTATAAAAAAAATAATAATTTAATAATACCAGCAAATCTTTCAAAACCATCCATAACACATTCATGTGCACGAATAATTAAAGAAAGATTATTTTTAATTAAGAAATTAATAACTCTATCTGGTCCAAATTTTACTATATTTCCAGTACCTGCAGGATCTCTAATAATATTTGGTTAGATTCCAAAATCTTGATCTGTATCAGTTGGATCTGACCATAAAATATCAACTACTAATTATTATTCAGGAGTTGTGACTTCATGGATCACTTCCAAAGGTCTTTATAGATTTTCTATCTCAGCAACATAATTTAGTTAGCTACCAATTCCTCCATGAAGACATATAATTTTATCTTCTACTATGGCGGCTAATGGTAACCATTCAAATAATCGATTTACTCTTGCAAAAACTGAATCTTCATCATTAGGATCTTCTCCTAATCTTTAAGCACATTCCTCTGAAAATCCAAAACCATTATTTATCCATTTATCTTCATGATTTCCTCTTATCAAATGAATTGATTCTGGAAATCTTACCTTTAGAGCTAATAATAAACAGATTGTTTCTAAAGAATGATTCCCTCTATCAACAAAATCTCCTAAAAATAGATAATCAAATGCTTCAATGTCACTATCCTTACCATCAACAAAAGGAGATCCCCATAAATCAAAGAATCTCATCAAATCTGAATACTACCCATGAATATCCCCAAAAATCTTAATTGGAGCTTTGCATCTTAAAACCATTGGTTGTTCCTTTAGTATTGCTTCTGCTTAGTCACATAACATAATTATATGTTAAGCTTAAAATAAAAACTTTGCATTCTCTGAGATATTTATAAAAGTTTTAGGTTACAGTAATGTTGTAATGAATAAATGAGCAATATTATTTTCTTGTGCAGTTTAAGGTACTCTTCCCTTTTTATTAGGTGCTTTTGAATCTCTTGCTTCTTCAGCAATTACTGCTTAATTTATAAATTTAAATTAAGATTTATCTGCTTAGTTTTAACCAAATGGTTTTTATTATTTTTGTGTATTTTGATTGCTTTAGCCAGGTTTTTTTTGAATTAAAGAATTATTCAAAGGAGAAGCTTAAGTATCTGGAGAGACTGGGGTCATTTATGGTGATAACGATTATGGTGATACACTTTATAATAACATTATATAATACTTTCTTTAAGCATGTTGATATTAAGCTAATTTATTAGTCAAGGTTTCGCTTGGCAATAGTAATCGATTTAAATTAATTTTAGATATTATATCAGTTGGAATATTTGGTGAATCTAATTCAAATCCTCCATAGACAAAAATACTGGTGTCTACTAACCAAGATGAATGTCTAAATCTTTAAATACTATTAAATTTGGACCATTCTGATGTTTCAGTATCATAAACATCAATAGTCAAAGTTTCTCCAACATTTCCAGTTCTACCCCCAATAACAACTAGCATGCTGTAAACAAACAATGTAGTATGTTGATATCTTCCAACTGGTTATTCTTTATCAATTTTATATGGGGCTTTAACCCAATCCCATCTTCCATCTCTATGTCTTCTTAATCCCCATGCATCATTTAATGCTATTTAATCATTAGAACGTCCACCAAATGCTACAACCATTCCATTAGCACTTCCATTAGTGCATATACTAGCAGAATGATAAACTCTTGCTAATGGTTATTCAGATTTACATTCTAATCTAGCCCAAGTAATAGGACTCTTTTCTACATTGACACACCCTAAATTTAAATGCATTATTTATACAGCAATCATTAACTGGTTCCTGTCCAGTATTACCTCCAAAGACTATTAAAAAAGGTTTTGTAAAGGTTAAGGTATGACCATATCTTCTACCTGGAGTTGTTCCTACTACTGGAACTACGGTCCATTATCCAATATCATCATTTGATCTTAAATCTAATAAATATAGATCATCTGATGCTAGACTACCACCTAACATAATTAATCCATGTTTTTTACCTCCTGTTGCTCCACCATAGATTACTATTTAATTTACATCAACGCAAACAGCCGAATGTGCTGCTCGAGGAGAAGGTGCTGTGCCCTAAACTATTCATTTCTTTATTATATATACCTTCTACTCTTTTCCACTACTTACTTTACATATCAAATGAGAAAGTATCTCCTGTAATACTATATTTCCCTGTGTCACCAGTCGCGCCTGTCATTTAATTATTCTCATTTACCTCCAAATAATATTGCCTTTCCTTTTGCAATGTATGTTATTGTGTGGCCAAATCTAGCTTAGGGCAATTATCCAAAAGCTTCAACCTTTTCAAAATTATTCATTTATTTATTATATTTCAAATTTTAAAAATATATAATACCCTAAAATATCATTTATTTTAGATAGCGTAACAGAATTTATTAATGGATCCAAAACATCCTCTTTCAACCTCTATTCTCCATCTCAATAATTATTATAATAAAGAAGAAAGCTTAATTTTATTCACATTCCTAAGAGAATTTCTAACATCGATCCAGGAGCTTGAGAACTTAAACTTGTTGGAATATGTAACTTAGACAATAAATATTCATTTGTGTTCACCCATGAATCTAAGGAGTCTTCCTTTAATATTTATATTACTTAAATCACTCGTCGATTAATTTTTCTATTATTATTTTTTTTCAATTACCTGATCTTTTTTTGTTATTTCATCGTACAAGACAATTTTAATATTTTATTTTTAATAATGAATTAGTTAGATCCCAATCCACTTAAATTATTTATATTAAAATTTATGTCGAATGAAGCAGTTGCTGGTTTTATTGCCATTAAAACTCTATAAAATAAACCACTACGTTATTTCGATGCCAATTTCAATGAGTTCAGAGATAAAAATATGACCATGTATATATAGAAGAAATATGCTGATCTCAAAAGTTTTATTAATCCATCATATTATTTTTAGAACGGACTGGTGTAACTGAATTACCCATTCAAACATTTACAAGCACCCAATTATAGATTAAACCTAAAGCAAATGATGGTTTGAAAGAAGTCAAAGCTAATTATGAGTTAGATGAAAAAGTTATATAAATTATGCAAAAAGTTATAGACCAAGAAGAATTAGATGGTATATTGTAATAATGTTAAACTTAATCTGCAACTAATAAATAAAAAAATTGGAAAAAAAAACCAATCTCTGTTCCTTAAAAATTAGCACTACTTATGAATGATTAAATTGAATAAACTGATTTGGATGCTTTATTTGATTAATATCAAAGATAAAATCTTAAATCTTCTGTAATTATTATTAATAAATTTTTAGTTGAATGAACTAAAAATATCAATCAAAGATCCAAAATTGATTTATAAAAAACTAAGTAAGGAAGGACTTCAAAAAGTTGAATTTAATGATCAAGAGCAAGTTAATTTTTTTATGAAGAAATTATGTGAAGAATAAAAATTAGATGCTTGTTCAGTTTTGGAAATCAGGAATGGTATAAATGAATATTTAGTTTAGAAAATATAAAATTTAAAGAAGATGCTTGGGATGAAATGGAGAGATGGAGAAATATAGTATAAAAACGAATTACATAAGAATAATTGTAAAAGATTTTAGTAGATGAGGAGATGAAATAAAATAAATAATTGGTTCAAATATTTAAAGATACAAGAATTGATCAATTTGATCCTGACTTTTTTAAGAAGAAGGTAAAGAGTAAAACAATGAAAAGAGTTAATGAAGCATAAGATAGCTAATATCATAAATTTTTTGTTTAAACAGATACAAATAAAAATACATTTGGAAAAGAAGATTTTCTACGAAAGAAATTAAATTATGCAACACCAAAATCTAGAGTTGAAAATACATTAAGATCTACTAGACCAACAACTAGTGTTAGTAGATCATAAAGAGTTTTACATAGATCTGATATTGAATTCAATAAATTTATTAAGTAATGTGATAATGTAGAACATACTTTTCAGTAAAACAATACAAAGTTAAATGAGAGAATCTTGCAATTAGATAAAATGATGGATAAAGCATGTTAATATTTAGAAGAAGATAAACCATAAGAAGAGAAAGAACCAAATCAAGATTTTGAGAGATTTAAAAAATAACGTTTATTCAAAAAGAAATTCGTCACTTATTTAATTGATAAAGTAGAAAAGTAGTCAGATTTATTGAGTTAAAAGATTAAAACTGTATAATCGAAAAAAATGATCGAAAAGGTTCTCTCTGAAGATTTATGATTAACTATTTTATTATATTTATTAATGAAACTAATCAGAAGTTTAGTTTTATATGCTTCTATAATAAGAGTATGTCCTCTTTGAGTAGATGGCGTAAGCAAAATCTGAAATATTCCTAATCATTTTTTAATAAATTAGTGAAAAACTCTTTAAGAGAATCCTTTAAATTAGAAATAAGAATTACCACAAGATTTATATTTAAACATGGATCTTTTAAATAGGTTAAATCTTCTTCAGTTGTTTCATCACATTCTTCTCCAACTTCTTGATTAAAATCTAAGAATTCACTCATATACAAAGTAGATCCTGTTTCTAAATCTGCTAATCCTTTATCTTTTTTTTCTTTTGGATCCAACAACTAAAATAATAACTATCATAACAATACAGCAAATCTATCAGCTATATCTTGATCATCATCATCTTTAATTTTCTCCAAATCCACATCTACTTGATCTTAATTTTTTTTATCATTAAAATCATCATCATCATTTTCAACTTCTAATCGATCATCCTCTTATTATTGTGCGTTATCCTGTTTTTAAGGAATTATTTCATTATCAAGACAACGAATAAGCAAAGATAGGATTTTAAATGGTGCATATACATCTTATAGTTTAATTGTTAATAAATACCACTATTAATATTCTAATGACTTGGATTATATCCAATAACTAATAAATTCTCTAAAGTTTTATCTTTAACTAAGAACAGTTTCATTAGAGCAGAAAAAGTAGCATTTTTAGTTCCTTTTCCTCTAAACAAGGGTTATTATAATAACCATTTATCAATTAAGACTTTTAGAGCCATACGATTATCAATACTCCAGGAAGTTAAGAATGCTATTGATTCTTTAGGTTTTTCGATTATCATTCTAGCATAAACTAGAACTAAAGATTAAACAGTAGATGGCATTCTAGATCTATAAATTTTAAAGACAACTGCTTTTAATAAATTTAGATCAGGATTTCCATCTAAAAGATTATTAATAGTAATCATAACTAAATTGCCTGCAAATAATGAAGCTGATTCATTAGCAGAATTTTATGGAACTTCCAATAATTTTAAATTTACTTTCATAACATCTTAAACTAAATTCCTAAATTTAATTTTAAATAGATTACATTTTTAAAATTTATCCAGTTTCTATTATAATAAAATTCTTGAGACATTAACTAGTATGAACTTGTAATTAAGGATCTTCGTTGATCAATATTAAATTAACCATTGAAGGTAATAGATTTATAAAAGCATCTTAAGCCTTACTATCTGAACAAAACTTTATAAATGTTGATGTAATATTCATAATAGCACTCATTAATGATATATCACTTTATTTAATCTTACTTTTATCTTATATTTTATGTACATCTTCATAGAATACCTAAAAACAATCTAAAATGAATGGACAAAAAACCTTCAATAAATAAACACAAGTACTTCAAAAATATGAGGGTATGCTTCTTTACATTAACATATTCTAACTATTAATTCATTAAATGGTTTAATAACACATTATTCTGAATGAAAAACACTAAAAAACTATAGCAAAACTTTAGATCCGTTCTTTGCTAAAGTAGTAGCCAAAGTAGATGAGAATTTAACTAAATTTATTGTTGATTCTAAAATAGAAATCATTTAGTCTTGAGTAGCTTCTTAAAGAACAGTCAATACTGACTCCATAAACTCTTATTTATATTCAAAAGCAATATTAAATTTATGAATTTTTTAAGCATAACTAATATCTAAACATTTTCTTACTTTCCTAAAGCTTTCACTGAGATAATTCTTAAAGTAATTGGATATTTTGAATCTAAATAAATTATAACAGATTCAAACAGAGGCACAAGTAATTCTTTAAATTAGTGACTAATCAAATCTGAATATCTTGTAGTACTCCATATAGCTCTAGCTTATAAACTATGAGAATCTAATAAAATATTTATATTGTAGTTTACTATGTTTTTCCAATTCATATAAAATATTCTACATACATTTTTTTATATCAAAAGTACTCTAATGCTTTTGTTAAAACACAATTATGTCTTCTGAAAAACTCCCCAACATTAAATAGCCAGCTTCCTTTCTTTTTTAGATGAATGACTTGAGATAATGATTATTATTAATAGTGATGATCGAACCTTTCATAAATTGCATAACACTATCTTGATCAAAATCTTTTGATTATTATCCCTTTAGTTCTTAGAAATTCAATTTAGAAATTATGGATTATGCCAAATCAATAAATTCTTTTTCTTCCCTATTCAAGATCAATTTTTCACCAACAATAAGTATTTATTAAATAAATTGATCACCATATTTCTCTATCATATCATTTATCAATTTCAAGGCTAAGGTTCTTACACTCTTTTAAAGTAATTCTTCTTCATCATTTAATATAAAATAACTTGGATCTTTAACCCATTATTTTTCTTATTCTTTAGTAGCAGTCAAAAATGTTGATAGAGTATTTAGCAATGGAAATGTTCCAAATTTAATTAAATTATAAAGAGCTGGTTTTGTAACTAAAATAGTAATCAATTCTATAGAATATGCACATAATCCTTCAATGTGATTTTCATAATCATCATCTTCATTCAAATATTTATATTCAATATCTAATATAACATACTTTTCATTTTTTACCATTTTTTATATTGATTATTCTTTAATTGCTAATTGGCAATTCTTTGTTTTCTTCTCCAAATAATGAATCAAGATGTTCCACATCTATTTGATACACTATATGTCCTATATATAATTATGTTATCGAATTGAAAAACTTCCAAATTGGAATTAAAGAAAGAGCTAGAGATTTTCTACTATAGACTCCAAAATCTCTAAAAATGACTATCAATATTTTTAAAACTAACTTTTTGATAAAGATGTGTGATTTTGGTGAGGTTTATAAGGCTGATAAAAATAAAGACTATATTTATATATATATAATTGATACCATCCATATTTAAAACGTATTATCTAAACATTTGTTAACTAAGGAATTATCAGTTCCATCAGCAAAAGATATTGATCTCAATACAAGATATACCATCAATAATATTTTTTCTCTTAACATTTCATTTAATTCTGGTTATGCAAATATACCAAAGCCTTTTTCAAGTACTGAAGGTACTATTTCTTTCAATAAATTCTAGTATTCTCCATTTGTCTCACTCAATTTGCCAAATAACTATAAGAAGAGTTCTAAACTAGATTCAACTGCATTTATATCATCCATCCAATTTAAAAGTTCCATCAATGGACTTGGCCATATGTGACTTGGATCTAATACAATTATGGAAACTATTATTGATGACTTATATGTATTAATTTTAGATTACAATCAATTCTATGATAGGCATGTTTGACACATTCATAACTAACCCATTTAAAAGAAGTTCACGTATTATTTTACGACAAGGCTAAATCAACTCCCATTATTCAATTAAAATATTCCTTAACAATACTCCAATATTGATTCTTATTTCAGCTGGATAATCGGGAGATACTAAGATTTTTGTGCTCTCAACCATAAAATTGGAATAAGGAGTGTGCAAGATTTCATATGCTTTCTCCAAATTTTCAAGTGCTTAGGCATATATCTATAATGTTATTTCAGGTGTAGCTTCTGCCATTTTAAATTTTTTTGTATTTTTTATTTTATATAATATTTATTCAAATTCTATCCTCTAACTGCTTATTTCTCCATTTAATCTATTCTCGGATTAATTGTATACAAAATTAATGTTCTAAATTCAAATTTCTACAATACTTAAAATTTTGTTGGATTATCAACAATTCCCACTTTTTGAATACTTTAATATTCTTTATTATTTAACTATGTAACATATTTAAGTTGTTAATTTATTTAACATTTAAATACTTTCTTAATTTTTGCATTCCTTTATATTAAAATAGTTTGCTATTAATCTTATCGATGACATTACTTAAGTCTTCTTACCGATTTGAAATGATAGGATCTATGGCTAACCATTAACAGCATTATTTCGGGTTTATGTCATTCTTAAATTAGATTTAGGATTTATTAGGTATGAGATTTTTGCTGGCAACAAATTTAAATTTAAACTATTCTCGTTATAAATTTTATAAAATCTCATCAATATCATTAGATTTATATTTATATAGTAATAATCCATTTTGATAAGTTTATAATTAAGTATGATTTTTAAAGAGTTCAATAGCTTTGGGATCACTTTATAAAGCATATTAATTAAAGGCATCTTCTAAGTTTAAAATTTGAAGAGTATACAAATAATCTTAATCAAAGTAAAGTAACTTATGTTTAGAGAAAAAGATTTATTAGGAAGTCAATTCAATAGTAGTAAAAATAGTCATATCATCAATGAGAATGATAGTGCATACATTTTGATTAATATTGTAGAGATAATTATTTACGATATTTATCTGATTGAATTTAAGACCAGCAAATTTAAAGGATGACTATACTTCACCTGTCATTTTAGCTTTCCATAAAATACCATTAGGTCGTCCACAAAATAGAAATGACTAATAAAAAGCACATCCAATTTTTTATTTTTTTTCTGTGTTTCCAACCTTAATCAAGCTTCTTGTCTTATCATCAAATATATAATAGTAAGAAGATTCAATTGCTACTTTAGGATAACTAATAGCAAAGCTTTCAATATTCATATTGTTCAAAATAACGTATTGCTCTTGAGTATTTGTATTATGCAATAAAAACTAATCTTTCAATTGAATATAGATTAAGTTATTGATAACGAATGCATCAATAATATTAGGATTCAAATAAACAATATTTCCATCTCTTTCAAGAATACCCTATGATGTCAATATATATTAGATTGATAACACTTTATTGTAAGGGACTTCAATAGGTAATATATTATCATTATGATGAATGGAAGAGGGTGTTACAAGTGTTTATTCATTCAAAATTTGTGTGAGGAGTATATTTAATTTATTCTTCAGAATACAGACTTCTTGAGTCTTCATTAATTAATTAATCAAAATTATTGGAGTATATATTTATCATCAATGAGCTCTCTAATTGTATTTCAGAAAAAGCCATTTATAATATTTTAATAAATGAATTTATTTATGCTATTTCTATTTTGTGTCATATTGGACATTTCAAATAGTTTAATGCCAATGCCAAAATCATTTTAAAAGGGTGATTAACTTGTTAAAATTTAGAATAAATGTTCTATTAAATATCAAGCTAATCATGATCAATATCCAGATTTCATAATTGAGTTACTTTAACATTTCCATTCACTAATGACTCATAATCAATGTAATTTTTAATAATCATTTGAATTTACTAATGATATGGATGTTATGAAGATATATATGAATATTAATTCCTTAGAATAATTGTATGGAATTGATGATACTCAATAAGAATCATACAGATTATAGATAGATAATCAATTAAATGTTATCATTTAAGTCAATAATCATTGGGGTTTGGTTAGGGCATTAAATACTTTGAATTAATTAAGTGAAAAAGGAGAGATTAATAATCTTCCTTTAACTATTGAAGATGAGCCCACTTACAGTTATAGAGGAATTTTGATTGATAGTGCAAGACATTTTCTATCAGTTGAATTAATTGAGAGGACTATTGATTCCTTAGTAATGAATTCTATGAATACAATTCATTGGCATATTACAGATGATGAAAGTTTTCCTTTACTTTTAACAGAATATCCATAGATTACACATTCTACTAAATATTCTGAGAATTCATTTTATACAATTAATGATACTACAAGAATAGTAGAATATGCATCAAAGAGAGGAGTTTAAATAATTCCTAGTTTTGATAGTCCAATGCATGCTATGAGTTGGGGTATGACTAAAGAATTAGCTGATATTATGATGATGTGTGGAAATACTATAAAATAATATGGTATACTTGATCCAACACTAGAAAAGACATATCAAGTTCTTGAATCAATATTAAAAGATTTTTATTAAATGTTCAAAAAGGTGAAATTTGTTAATTTTGCAGGTGATGAGGTTAGTAAGACATGTTGGGATCAAAGACCTGAAATAAAATAATTTATGGTAGAAAATAATATTAAAGATTATTATGAATTATAATCATATTATCGAAAAAGATAAAAGTAATTATGGAAAGAAGTTATAAAAGCTGAATAAGATATAATTTATTTATATAGATAAGAAGACAATTTACCACTTGATAAAGAAGATATTATACATTGGTGGGGATATACAGATTAATTGCCTGATGTTGCTGATAAACCAAATAGAATTATATTAATGGATTATTTTCCATTATTTATAGATGCTGGATTTGGAAATGCATTTGGAAATCCATATTCAGTTTACCATACATGGAAAGAGATCTATAAATGGACTCCATCTCTACCTGAAGGTTCATTGAATACAATCATTGGAGGAGAAGTACCATTGTGGGGAGAAACAAATAATCAAAATACACATTTTAATAAATTATATATGAGAACATCTGTTATTGCAGAGACGTAATTTAATATTATAATTATTAAGTTTATGGAATCCAAAATTGAAGGAAACAGAAAAATTCTCATCTTTTGTTAAACGTTTAATAGAAATGGAAGATAGGATGACTAAATAAGGATTTGCTGTTACTCCTGTTACTCATGGATATTGTAGAAAAAATACAGAACTTTGTTTTCCAGTCTTAAGTGAGAATTAAGTATAAGTTTAAATCGATTGAATTAAAATAAATATATTTAATTAATGAAATTGATCATTCAAATAGCACTATTAATTATTTGTGCTTATTCACTTATGCCTATGCCTTAATAATTCAATAAAGGATCAAAAACCATTAAGATAATTAATAAATGTGGATTATCATTTACAAATGTTCATAATCACCCATAACATATTATTGAATTATTACGTCATTATCATTCATTAATAACATCTCAAAATCAATGTAATTTTTAAATGTCCTTGAACTCCAATCTTAAAATTTAAGGAGCTTTAAAATTTCATATATCCCTTTAAAGTGATGAAAAATTATATTGGGTTAATAATACATAATAAGAAGCTTATATTTTGAAAATAGATGAATATTTGAACATTAATATTGACACAAATAATCATTGGGGTTTAGCTAGAGCATTAGATACAGTTAATTAATTAATTGATGATGATCATATTTAATATGTATTTCCCTCTCTCATTATTATAGCTTCCTCTTTTAATATAAGATGAACCTGCATATACATATAGAGGAGTAATGGTTGATACAGCTAGACACTTTTTACCTCTTAAAACTCTTGAAAGAACTATTGATGCTTTGGCTATCAATAAAATGAATGTAATGCATTGGCATATCACTGATGACGAAAGTTTCCCTTTACTTTTAACTAACTATAGTCGCATTACTAACACTTCTAAATATTCTGAAAACGAATATTATACTAAATCAGATGTTTCCTATTTGATTGAATATGCATCAATTAGAGGAGTTTAAATCATACCAGAAATTGATTCTCCAGCCCATGTTTAATCTTGGGGAAGAAATATTAGTGATTTAGAAAATATAATTTTAAATTGTGGAAGCACAGTCAAATAATATGGATAATTTGATCCTACTTTAGATTTAACATATGAAGTTGTTAAATCTGTTTTATAAGATTTAGCTGACATGTTTGAAAAAGTGTAATTTGTTCATTTTGGTGGAGATGAAGCAATATAGAGTTGTTATAATTAAAGACCTTCAATAAAAGAATTTATGAATTAACATGGGATTGCAGATTATATAGAATTGTAGACTTATTATAGATAAAAATAAAAAAGTATATGGAAAAATGAAATAAAATCTAAAAAAAGAATTGCTTATTGGTATAATAAGGATGATAAATTACCAGCTGATGATGATGATATAATTCATTGGTGGGGATCAACAGAAGAACTTTCATTAGTATCAAATAGAAGCAATGATTTTATTCTTAGTGATTACCATCCTTTATATTTAGATATTGGTGTAGGTAATGCTTTTGGTAATCCATATTAAACATATTAAACTTGGAAGGATATATATAAATGGTCTCCTTAAATACCTGAAGGATTTAAAGGTAAAATAATAGGAGGAGAAGCACCTCTTTGGGGTGAAACTAATAATTAAAATACTCATTTTTAAAGGTTATTTTTAAGATCATCAATCTTGGGAGATACGTATTAATTATTTATTTATTTAGTTTATGGAATCCTTTTTCAAAATAATAAGAATAGTTTTATGAATTTGCTGATAGACTTGGGTAAATGGAAGATAGAATGAATAAATATGGATTTCCTGTATCACCTTTCACTCATGATTATTGTAAAAGACATACTAAAATTTGTTTTCCTATCTTATATACAGAATAAGAGTAAAGCCATGAAAAATAGCATTAATATAAAGAATTATGAGTTTTATATATTTTTTATTAAATTTCTGGAATGGGTTGTTGTACTATTAAAAAAGTTCATAGTAAGAATAAAGAAAAAGTTTTTTGTGAACCTAATATTTAAGAGAGTCAAAACCTTCAATAACCTTTGGACTAAAATCTCTAACCAAAATATCAAGAATAAACCATGGAAAAAGTAACTTCTGAGATTTAGATGGTTTAAAAAAATAATATGAACCATCTCATCACTCTCAAAGAGAATCAATATACTGTTTACAATAAAGATGATCTTAATGCTGTTGATGATCAATTTTTTTAAGATAAACATTAATAAAAACCTTAAGAAGTTGAAAAAGCAAATTCTGATGATGATTATTGATTTTATTCGATTGATCTAATTATTTACATTAAATATTCTAGTATTTTAAATTATTATTATCAAAATTTTAATTTTCAAATTTTGAGTTATTTTCACTTAAACTTTACTAAATTCACTAAGAAATCTATTTAAATTTAACATTAATCTACATTTTCATAATATATTTATCAAATTTCACTATGCCTCGCTGTCCGACAGATATTGTTTACTCTGAAAAATATAGAGATGCAGAATTTGAATATAGACATGTAATCCTACCACATGAATTATATAAAAAAATCTAAAAAATAGGAAGACTTCTAACAGAACAAGAATGGAGAAGTCTTGGTGTTAAAGGATCTCCTGGATGGGTTCATTATGATTGCTATAAACCAGAACCACATATACTAATGCTTAGAAAAAAAATTAATTGATATTAAATCTTAATATATATAT